TTTTAGATAAAATACTATAAATACATTGTATGTATTAGGTCACATCAGGGTGATTTAAACTGGTACAATCATGGCATTTTTCTAGACATGAATGTGCACAGATGCATAAATGTTCTGCATGCTTGCATTTTAAAGGGCCACAAGAAATGTCATTGGATCCATAATGAATTTCATGAACAACCGCTGCACTTCTCCTCCTCCTATAAGATCTCACGTCTCAGGGGGGATTTAAATTCCACCGGGATCCTGACCCTTGTTCGCCAAATTTGTGGATGCGCGCAATTTCCGTTCCCAATTGTCGAGTGTTAAGTAAATGCTGAAATGGTGATTGAATACGCTGCCTGGTGTCGTGGTTATTCACGCAGTTGTTTTACTTCCCAGCACATATGGTCAGCATATCGTGACACTTGATTTATCATTATGATGTATTGCTAATGTTGAGTGGTCCCCTGCAGACTTTCAACAGTCCAATAAATTGGTTTATGAGAAACCACTATTATGACCTTCTTGACCTTTTCGGTTTCTGCTCGTGGTCTGATTGTGAGAATTAATGGTTGCTGAACAATGAGCCCCTCTGTCATCCAGCAGACAGGAAAACCCCATTGAATCGATTGTATATTATTATGGCATTAGCATCGGACTTTTGTTTGTGTTCACACACAGGCGTACACAAATATGAGCATGCATCAGCGCCTACACATGCAGAGGCAAGTAGAGTGATACATGAAGGTATGAAGGCCCCCACACACATGCACACACAAACACACTGTGTTTATGTTGCTCAGGCCTGTAACTCGCTGTGGGACAAATACAGGAACAGGATATTTACTGTGTTTCCTTGACTGGTTTATTGGTTCACAATAGTATCTTCTAACCACATAGGCACCATTTTTATTATGTCTTTTCTGTCAAAGTTTACCTTTCTGTCAATCCAGCTGAATGTGTGTACAGTTGGAAGAGCGACAGGATAAATAATATAAGTGGGTGCTACGTGCAGAAAAACATTTAGGATATGAACTTTTTATGCTCTTTTGTATAAATTGTGAAGTTGTGTTTCACGCTGTCATAGAAAAACAACATAACCTCTTTGGAAGAGGTAATAATTATTGATTAATGTGTATATTTAATAAACATTTTTTTGCTCTTTAAAACCATAATTTGACTTCAAATTGACTGTTTTTATGTTTAGGTATTTGTTAAACTTTCTGTTTCGTCATATTTTCTAGTTTTAGTGTCTGCAACTTAAAGCCCAATTTACACATCAGCTGGTCAACTAAGCAAATCACAATGACAGTAGTCACTCGTTGTTTTCTGAAAAGCTTTCTCACTGTATCTATATCATATATTTAACGAATGTGTTAATATTTGGAACCATACAGTCTCTGTACCTATAGATATTCATTTAAATCCAATGTTTGGTTGATTCAGAATATATGATCCTTCAAGTATGACTCTCTCCCTCAGCTTTAATCCCACCAAACGATCGCCACTCATATAAATCAACATGTTTGCAGTGAAATGCTTCCAATTAAAGAGGACGCTCCTTAAGAAGCATCACCAGACACCGCTGGATGTTTAATTGCCTGGGATGCATGTGTGTGATGCATATTAATTACGTATTAACCTCGCACACAAACACACACACACACACACACACACGACTGCACCCAGGCACATTAGTGTGTACTGCATATTAATTACCTTTTACCCTTTGTGTTGTGCTTTAAGAGCTGCGTGGCATCAGACAGACAGCTTGCTCAAGGGCAAGACACACACACACACACACACACACACACACACACACA